GAAGATGAACGCTTACTACAAAATATGATGAATTCTATTTTACAGAAGGGAAAGATGCTGGATAGCTGGAAAGAGGCTAATATTGCATTCATGCCTAAAGAGGGACAAGATTTGACTAACAAGAAACTATCGGCCGATATCATTATTGAATAATGACTTTAAGTTGTTTACAATGATTTTGGCTAAGAGGTTGAAAATAATTTTGCAAGAATTTATTCATGAAGATCAGTCTGGGTTTTTACCTAAATGACAGTTAAGGGATAATGTTAGAAATGTGTTGGACATTTTGGACATTATGTGTTGGAGCAACATAATGAAAAACAAGCTGCATTGATTTTCTTAGACTCACAGAAGGCCTTCAACAATTTGAACTGGGCTTTCCTGTTTAAAGTTTTGGAAGATATGAACTTTGGAGAGAATTTTATTAAATGGGTAAGATCAATCTACACCTCACAGAAAGCACAAATAATTGTTAATGGAGAACTAACAAAACCCTGTGAGATACAAAAAGGAACAAGACAAGGGCGCCTGTTGTTTCTGCTCCTGTTTATTTTAGTTCTTTAAATATTGAACAGAGAGATAAGATAAGATGAGACAATTGCAGGAGTAAAGATCAAAAGAGAAACTTATAATTTAAGGGCATTTGCTGATGATTTGGTATGGGTTTTGGAGGATCCATTAAAGTGAATGATAGAAATATTAATAGGGAAATTAAAAGAATTTGGTATGCTAGCAGGTTTTAAGATTAATAATCAGAAGTTTAAAATGTTAACAAAAAATATGAAAATAGAGGATCAAACCTAACTGATGAAAAAACTGGTTTTAAGATTGAGAAAAAAGTAAAATATTTGGGTATCACTATGACTAATATGAATTGTATGTTATTTCAAAATAATTATGTTAAGATATGGAATGAAATTAAAAAGGACATGTTAAGATGAAAGAAACTATAAGTGTCATTGTTGGGGAGAATTTATGTGATAAAGATGAATATTTTGCCTAGAATGGTGTTCTTGTTTCAGACTATACCTGTTTTGACAATGGATGTACCATTTAAACAATGGCAAAAAGATATATCCAAGTTTGTATGGCAAGGAAAAAAGCCACAAGTTAAATATAAGGTATTACAAGATGCAAAGGAAAGAGGAGGATTAGGTTAACCTGATCTGAAATTGTATTTTGCAGCTTGTTTGGTTTGGATAAAAGAATGGGTGTTGCTGAGAAATAAAAGACTTTTAGAGTTAGAAGAACAGGACCTGAGATTTGGGTGGCATGGATACTTGTGGTACAATAAAGTCAAGGTTAATGTAGATTTTGAAAATCATTATGTTAGACATACTATATTGAGAATATGGAATAAATACAAACCCAGGTTGTGCCTGAAAACACCTTTATGGCTCTCAGCACAAGAAGCATTTTATAGATGAGAAATAATAGTCATTCTCAATAGATAGCACCTTTTTTCGTGAGCTACAGCTTGCACCTTTGAATAAAACAAAAGCTTGCACCTTTGAATAAAACTGATTAGTCAGAAAAAGGTGCTACTAGACTCTTTTTGAAGTTCCTATTGTCACTTAAATACAGAGACCCACTTAACTAACAATAGGCCAGGTGCAAAATACACCCAAGGACAGCATGAAGATCCTTCCTTTTACTTATCTTTCCTCATTTGCCCTAGCGATCAAAACAGTTCATAGCTGAGAGATGATGCAGTCTTCAACAGCGACCACAAACATCCCTGTAGGATACAGAAGCTTTGCCCTAAAGTGAAAGTAGCAGTCAGCTCAAAATGCCTCCATCCTTCTGAGATCAGTTTTTCTTAATCTCCCACCTTCCAGATGGCTGGAAGGGCTGGTATTGTGAAAGGTGTAACCCAGACCATCTAGGTTGGGGATAGTTTGCAACCGAGGGTCTTCCCACCTGCAGCAAGAGTGCCCCTTTGCTCTTGTCTGTATTCCTTCAGGGAAAGCTCTGATATGCTCCCTCCTTTATGCTCTCTGCTTGGGTGGCCAACATTGCTATGGCCTGGATTTTCAGTTGTTGTCATTTTAAATATCTGTTGCCAGAAAAGGCGTGGTTTAAACTGAACATTTATGTTATGTTTTGTTTGTTTTATAAGCAAAACAGGTTCATTAAGTCTACTGGAGGCTTAACATGCCTATTTACAGGCATTTTAAAACAGAAATCAGTATACTGCTGAATTTGCTATTGAATTTTGGGTGGGGTCCAGACAGGTTTCTAGCTGGGGGATTAAGGCCTGATCTGCATGACTAACTTGCCCCAGCATGAATACGGGCTGCCAATCACTTTAGTCAGGAACACACAATGTCATCCTCTACCTGACTCCAGCCCACCAGGAAAACAACTTTTCCTTTTCTGTTTCTGCTACACATTGAAAGTACTGCTTTATGCCTTTTGCTGGTTTAGCTATTCAACCCATCTGCTATGCTTCATTTCTTTATAGGCAAACCCCTCTCCTCCAGTTGATTACTATACATTGCCCTCCAGGGCCATTTTTACAAGTTCACCAGTAGAAAAAGCTGGACTTCCTATTTTCATATAAGTTTATGAAGAATAAAGAGGAAGAGTAGAACAGTGGAATAGGGACCTTTTTTTTTTTTCCACCAAGTGAAATTACCGAGAGTTGTACTGCTTTTCCTTTCTGGTCCAGATGACATAAAACAGTAGTATATCTATGGTGTTTTCTTTTTCCTTTTTACCCTCCTGGAGGACTAAAGAAGGAGAGGAATCCATCAGTTAGGAGCTGTAGTAAATGCAGTTTGGACAAAACATCAGGCTACCACTGTATGCAATTCTGTTTTCTTTTTAAAAGTATTTGCTCTGTTCCATTTGCTAACACAAGTCGCCTCCAAAGCTAAATCAGGGAAAGCTATTGTAGAGTCAGTGAATAATATAGCAGGCAGAGTTTTCCGGCAACTGCCGAAGTAAGATGAGTTCAGATCATGATGTTTGATGTGATTAAAAATATTAACCAATGCACAAATGACTTTACTGTCATCTGTGAAACTTTGGCAGGCTATAAATCAGCCTTAGATCTCCGGGCAGGGTGTGTCTTTTTCACTCAAACAAAGAATGTCTCATGTGGCTGTAACATACCACACAGCAACAACATTTCAGAAGGTAAGGAGATGAAAAGCCAGATTGCACTCTCCATGACTACAGTACTGGAAATGTTCACAGGACATAACTGGAATATCCATCCCTTGAACTTCTCCTGTAAGTCTATCATCGCTGACCAAGTGATAGCTTTCCACTGCATGTGCAGATAATCTCTTGATAAGCCCATTTTTAATCTTGAATAAAGTAAAGTAAATGCAACTGTTTTCCTCGATAATCTATACTGCCCTATCAGTTTGTACCAGATCAGAAAAATCAAGGGAAGCAAAAGATAGGCTTAAGGCTCAACATGTGAGAATGAGACAGTTTACCAGATGATTATACTGATGCCACAGTAATGGACTACATCTCAAATGGTGATATATATATATATTAGGACAATTTTTTTCAACTTGATGTCTTCCAGATGTGCTGGATTATAATTCCTAGCATCTCTGCATAGCACAGACATGATAGAAGTTGAGAAAACATATAGACAACAATTTGCCAAGTAGCCACTTACTTCAATAAATTACCTGTTAAACTTGTCCTTTTTTTACCATCTTGGCTTTGGTAAGAAGCTTATTACATATCTACAATGAATGAGAAATCTGGGGACTCAGGGGATAATAGAATTTCCTTCTAGGACATTACAGCCATCCAGAACTTATATCAGACTGATATAATTTATGGGGGGAATAATGCCAATTGTTCTGTACTGTATGCAAGATAATATGCTAGAATGCATGGATGGACTCAGTTGCAGTGACAATGAGTATGCCATTGGAAGATCTGAAAGACCAGGTTAGGGACAGATCATTATGGAGAAAATCTATCTAAGTTCTCACTAAGAGTCAGCTACAATTAGATGGCACATAATCAATCAATCAATATGCATATATCAGGGACAGGCAACTTAAGAACAATAGGCTAGATCCAGACTAGAAACAATAAGCCGGATCCCAGGATAGTCTTGCTGAAATCAACATGGCTTAACTAAACTTAATATTAATTTAATGACTCTAAGGATATTTCCATACTACCACCATTTCCACTTCCTAATTCTTCAAAAACCTGCCATCCTCGTCAAACCTGCCAACTTCAAAATGCTGAAAATGAGAGGCAAAGATCGCTGACCCACCCAGAGTTGCCACAAGTTCTGCACTAACAAAAATCCCCTCACCCCCATTCTATCCAAAAGAGAAATAAATTGCCTGATACACATCCATAATTCTTGTTGTCTGCTCTTGTCTGGTGGTATGTAAAATAAAAACAAAAACCAGAATCCAGTGGTTTGAATTATAGAGAGCTATACAACTGTCATGTCACTGGATCCCTTGAAAAATGTGAAGCCCAAACTCTGGGCATGATGAGGCAGGAGTTCTGAAGAAGGGGAAATGATCATCCACAGGCTCAAAAGAGCCAAAGTGTTTTCAAAGAAAAAAGTAATTTCAAATGCACCATAGCTGAGCCAGAAATAAATTAATCCAGCTTTTAAACAGGGCAATCTAATGAGTTCACAGAGGTCTAGAGCTGTACTTGAATTAATGCAGAGCCCTCACACAGAAATAGCACCCAGCCCATTAACAAAATGGCAACATGCCAGGAATACAATATTACTACCGAAAGCCAGGAGGTAGCTATTTATTTATTCTTAAATGCATTTGAGACTGTGGGATTTTAACCTAGCATTTGACTTCCAACTTCCAACAACGTCTTTTCAACTTTGAGAAAAGAATCTAAGCACTATCAAGGAGGAGACGCTGGGCCTTTCCCCACCACATATTCAAAGGGGTACCCACCCACCCTGGAACAGAAGAAAATGGGCTGCTGTCTGCACTTTGAGGTAAACAGATAGGAAACAGACCAGCATGGGTTTCAGGAATGCTTTTTATTGTTGTAGGGTATAATAACAGCACCATGAAAGTAAGTCTGTCAGAGTTTTTATCTACTACATCTTATACCAAACAAAATCAAGGCAGGGCTATTTTCAATTTCTTTCTCAAGACTGAGTAATCTTTTCTGAACCTCCTCCTGGCAATGGTTCATCCATCCTTTCCTCATTCCCCTCACCAACAGTGGTGTGTGCAGGTACAGAGTTTTGAAAGAGCATTCAATTTACAGATAAAACCACCCTTAAAAAAAAAAAAAAAAACCTCCCCAAGTCCATGCCCACTGCACAGCTGATCCATGGACTCGGGGAGGTAACAGGTACAGCGGGAGGCTTTTTCATAAGTGCCACATCCTGAGCCTGGCCAGGAGGTGATCTACAGTTTCCACAAGGCGGTAGGAAAGCCTGGTTTGAAAAAGGTGGATTCTCTGTCTCCCTAAAACAGAATGATCCTGGAGGAGAGTGAAATGGCCAGTAGGTGCCAGGCTGATCCATCCCCTTTGGCCACCTGACTGAATCACTGACAGCAAAATGCATTACATTTTGCACACCTATATCTAGTATCTGCAGCAAGGTGCTTGTGGTTACCAATTTACCATGGGTATCTCCTTTAATGCTAACTGGTTTTCCTTCCCCAACTGATTTTGAAGAAAAATGAAATGGGAATTCAAAGCAATGTCCCACTCTCTAGCATTATTTTTTATTCTCAGTAATACTTCTAAGTCTTCATAATCCCCACTAGCAATCCTAGGAAATAAAATGTTGAGTGGCTGCAGCCCATGCTTAATTTGGAAGTGTGCTTATCTCCTCAGAATAAGGAAAAGGTAAGCTGAGAGCATCTTACGGGTCTCCAGAGGGTAGGTAAATGTGCCCACAGACCCAAAAAGGTTGAAGTTCTGGAATTAAGTAAGATGAACCTTATGGACAATGGCATCTTTGGCATTAATTATCAATGGATATCTTCTGTTTCTTCAGTCTGGTGCAACTCCCTGTGCTGCAGATACAAGTTCTGCTTGGGGTTTTGCATCTCTCACCCTCCTAAAGAAGGCGTACTGTCTGCCTTGTCTTTCCTCACACTGAGTTGATATGTATTCACGGTAATTCTTCGTTAGCAGAGTATAAAGGAATGGGTTGATGCAACTGTTGCTATAGGTCAAGCAGGTAACACCAAAGTTGAGGTAAGCTTGAGTAGTAGGCCCAATCTCCAAGTCCGTTGGCCAGTACAACTTGGCTAATTGCCAGGCCCAGAATGGTACAAAGCAAGCCCAATAGGCCACAATGATGCTGAAGATCCTGGAGAACAGCTTCTGTTTCAGTATCCTGCCCATTACCTGAGGCTGCATAGCTTTTGTGGAAATCCAATAGGCCCATGCAAGACGTGAGTACAGTACAGCTAGGACAAGGCCAGGCCCTAGGATGCTAGTGCCAAAGAGAACTGTGAGGTAAACTCGGAAGGCATCAGGTGTCCACGTGGGAAAGCAAATATGTTTATGGCTTCTGCCTTCCTGCTGCTGGATCATGACCATCATTGGTATGGTAAGCAACAATGAGAGAAGCCACATAGCAATGCTGGCAAGTTTGTGATAACTATTCCCAGCAATCCTAGCCCTTAGCGGTCGGGTCACTGCCCAATAACGTTCCAAGCTCATGGCTGTCAGCAGAAAGATGCTAGCATGCATTGTGAACAAGTCCAAGCTAAGCAAAAATCTGCATCCTGCATCTCCAAAGAACCAGTCCTGGGCAAAATATGTACAGACCACAAAGGGAATAGTGGAAAGGTAGAGTAAGTCCGCCAAGGCCAAGTTAATAACATATACACACAAACAACTTGCTGAACGAATTGCCATGCTACCAAATGCCACCACCAGTGTGTAAATATTCCCTGCCATCCCAATGAGGCACATCAGGAGGAGGATTGTTCCCAAAACTCCCGTGAGAGAACTGTGCTCCCTAAAGTCAACTTCTTCATCAGAGAAATTGCTCCATGATGGTTCTTCAATGAGTTCCGCCATCACTGACTAGCCAAAATGCACTCCAATTCTAGAGAAAACTTACAACAGCCACATGTTGTGCCTCGCACTTCTGGCAACTTAGGGTCAATAAGAAGGGATAGGAATGCTAGTGGGAAGAAATCAAAAATAGGTTGGATGTGAGAAAAAAAACACTATTCTTCATAAGAAATGAAGAATCTTCTTCGCATGTCATGCTCAGCAATGCTTCTTACCATTCCTTAGAGAAAGATCATGATTGAAAGAAGTACAGCCATATTAAACAGCATGGTTTCCTCTTGCTGCTTTCAGCCTCCATAGATTGTGTCCTCTGTGTGTCTGTGTGTCTTCAATGTCTCTCTCTATTCCAGTTTTCATCTGCTGGCCCATTAGTGCAAAGAAATCTTCCCAGAGCAATCAAACAGATTTCTTCCTCATCTCTTCTGCTGTCCAACTGCCCTCTACTCAAAAATAGCATTCCCCTTTTTGATGGAGGAATGTGTCTGACTCACAGCTTCGCACTCAAATACCAATACTCTCAGCAGTAACTACTGGACTATGAAGAATGAAGGACACTGTGTCCACACCAACATGTCTTCCCTCCCACCTATCCTATTTTCTTCCCTTCATCTTTCTGCCAGTTTCTCCATTGCTTTCTCCAACCTCAGCCTCACCCTTTTTGTTTATGGTTGCTGTAATAGGAAAGGAAGGTCCTTAATTGGCTTAGGACAAAAATAGAAAATTAAAGGCAGTGTTAGGAGAGAAGAGGGGTAGGATGGAATAAGACAATCAATCTGACAAACTAGTTAACTTTGCTTTCCATGGTATCACAGACAGTGCTGGCACTGAAAAGAACTCCCCCTCTGGTATGTTTAAGTGTTAAAGAATGGGACCACACAACTGCTTGTAATTTTAACATAATCTTTTAAATATACATGGAATAAAAAGATGGCTTTTTAGTCAAATCATCTCTCTCTGATCTCTGTCTTGATCTAATCACGACGCTCATCATCTGTCACAGTGACCTGTGACAGATGTGGTCAGGTCTGGAGAATCATAGTTAGAAAAAGCTTTTAGACAATTGAGGCCAGCCCCCAGTCGATGCAAGAATCCAAATTAAAGCAAGCCTCATTTTCCTGCCTCTACCTTAACTCAGTCAGGGAAGAGGACCTCACCACCAATCTTGGAAATTAGCTCTGCTGTCAAACTGCTTAGGATTTCTTTTCTTTTCATTCTGGTGGACATTGTCTTCCTGGAATTTAAGGATATTATTCCGTGTTTTACTCTTACAGATTATGGCGTTCTTCTGTACGGGATCCTTTTAGGTATTTGAAGAAAGCTACAGTATCTTATTTCCCACCCTCCACCCTCATTTTCAAGACTAAACATACCCAGTTCCTGTAATCTCTTCCTGTAGGACATAGTTTTCAGGAGAGAAAATTTGAGAATGATTTGAAAGAAACATGCTATGAATCTTGCACCCCATTTTTCTGCTATTTAGTAAAGCACCCTGCTTTTTTCATGCAACTGGGGGGGAAAAAAGATTCAGCTGCTTTAAGCCACATTAAATGTAATGAGTTAAACCATTGAACGGACACGTCTTTTTTCAGGGTTGTATGGAAGCCTAAAAAAGACAGGCTGCTATAATGAATAGCAAAGAGATGTTGGGCTCCTGCCAGGTACAAAGTAATTATCCCAAATCATTTTTGAAGCACGCAAAGTTTACTTTCCAGGCTGCTGATCCTCCCTGTTGCTTTTCTTTGGACTTGTTCTAGAATTTGCTTTGCTTTTATCAGCACCCTGAAGTCTGGTAATGCCAGGCAAGTGGAGCAAGCAGTGGTTGTAGGGGAGATAATAAGGCAGTGTTGTCCAAACTTGGCCACTTTAAGATGAGTGGACTTCAACTCATCTTAAAGTGGCCAAGTTTGGACAACACTGCCTTATTATCTCCCCTACAACCACTGCTTGCTCCACTTGCCTGGCATTACCAGACTTCAGGGTGCTGATAAAAGCAAAGCAAATTGAATTCTGGGAGTTGAAGTCCACTCATCTTAAAGTGGCCAAGTTTGGACAACACTGTAATAAGGTAAGTAAATGATGGAACTGGAGTGAAATCAGTTGCTTACTTGCTGTACTCTATGAGTTCTGCCAGTCTTCTCCATGCTGAGGGCCTTCAAATACACTGGACCATTATTCCCAGAATAGTCAACCAGTTCTGGCAGATAATTCTAGAATTTACAGGATATTTCTGTAGGGTGGCAGGTTGGGGAAGGCTGCATGGAATCTTGTGATGCACCTAACTTCAGTAAGTGGAAGCCTTTTTGTTTTAATTCAAGCCAGGAGTGAGAAACTACTGCTGATCTACAGCAAGGTAAGTAGCAGCAGATTTTTGGTCTGCCACTGCCACTCCCAGGCCTATAGACAAAAAGGACGGTCAAATGGATATTGTTCGTCAGCACTACACAAGAAGGCATGGATGTGGTTGCGTGGTGGATCTGATGGCTGCATGTCAGAGCTTGAAACCAAACATTCCCCAAATCTGCCACACGGTCAGCAGAAGCAGGACTACCAAGACTGTAGTAGCATTTGGTGAAATTATCTGTGCATTAGGCTATCATATCTGAGGTGCAAAAATCCAAATGACCACTAGATGACAGCAAAGAACTCTTTGCTGCCATCTGTGATCACCCGCACATCTTAAAGTCCACACATCTTAAAGTTCCCAAGGTTGAGAAACACTGGATTAGGGCATTGTAGAATACCTAGAATTTTCAGTCATTTGGATAGGAAGCCAGTGAAGTTATAGGCAGCAGAAAACTGGTGGGGTTTCACATTGGTATCACTGGGGAAAGTGAAAAGAATGCCATTAAAAGAATGAACAAACCGATGTAAAAATAGCATTTTGTACACCTCACCATTTAAAAGAGGCTTGCAAATTGTTTACCATCAGTTTTGAGAGAGAGGCCTGCAGCCTTTTCTCCCCACCTTCCTTTGAAGATGATTTCAGAGTACGAGCATGCCAAAGATGGCAACTTATCATATGGGTTTGAGCAGATAGCAAAATCGGGGAGAACGGTCACCTCGGAATCAGAATAATCACAGAAGGACAGGCAAGCGCCTGTGTCAGAAAGGGCACCCTATACTATATAGGCCGCACATCTGTTGGATACTGTGTAGCCACAACCATCATCCTGACCGGATTGCTACATATTCCTACCCAAACCCACAAAAGCCAGCAGCCAACAAGCAGCAAGCAGTAGTAGCACAGAGGTGGGAAGCTGCATTTTCTGGCCAATATGAAATGAACTGTTCGGTTTATTGTAGAGCAGGGCAGTAGCATCCATCAGCTGATTTACATCAGTCTTTGTGCTGCTTATTTCTACACCAAGTGTCTCTCTAGATCAAAATGGCAGAGAACTTTGAGGGCCAGGTGGCCAGCAGTTCTTTGGCAGAGGGTTTTCTGAATAGATTTTACTTCTTTCAACACTTCTTCCTGCTCTGAGAGAATACATAGGCTGCTTTGACTCCAGAACGTCTTCTTTTGCTCTGTTTTCCAAAAACTGTGGACCAAGAAGAATAGCAGCGACTTACTCTTCTTCAGAGATGTTAATGTTTGAGCTTGAAATTAGCTTCAACTGTAAAGAAATTGAGAAATCTATTATATCATGCAAAAATGAGTAGGCATAGGCAAAGGGGCAGGGGTGATTCTGCAACTCTGTGTTTACACTCAATTCAGTTATGAGTGTATAACATAATTTATTTTAAGATTACTTTTCTAGTCCTGTTGGTTGAAGAGACAAGCTAGAAGGGCTGTGGGCACTGCCTAGTGGCAGCAAGAAGTGACAGCTGCATTTTACTGTCCAAAAAAGGTCCTCTTGCCCTGTGACTAGTGAAAGCATAATAATTTAAGCAGTATAGATAAATATGACATGCTTGTGTAATGTAGTAGGGAAAATATTGGATATGGATCAGGATGCCTCTTGTTCAACTTTCATCTCTCCTTATCTATCTAGATGACCTTCCTGATTCTAATGGGTGGGTGCAGTGTTTCCCACCCTCAGCAACTTTAAGATGCGTGGACTTCAACTCCCAGAATTCCCCAGACAATTCTGGAAGCTGAAGTCCATGCATCTTAAAGTTGCTGAGGTTGAGAAATACTGGGTTGGTGGCTATATTTGAAATGTTGAGAACATGTAGTGGGCTGTCTCGCAATATTCAGAAAGTGGCTTCCATAGGGGACAACCAGTTACAAAACACCAGTTTAACAAAATGCTATCTGCCATCTTCTCCCTACTGCCATTGCTTACCTTGGTCCTTTTTCTGGGTATGTTGGCACACTCACAAACAAGCCACTAAACTGCAGTTTCCCATCAAGCTTTCAGGGTACAATTGGGTCCCAAAAGTATTATTAGAGGTTGCCACTTTACAATAGAGCCAGTTTGGTGTAGTGTTTAAGGCACCAGGCTAGACACCAGAAGACTGTGAATTCTAGTCCCACCTTAGGCACAAAGCTAGCTGGGTGACCTTAGGCCAGTCACTCTCTCTCAGCCCTGGGAAGGAGGCAATGGCAAACCACTTCCAAAAAACCTTGCCAAGAAAACTGCAGGGACCTATCCAGGCAGTTGTCAGGAGTCAACACTGACTTGAAGGCGCGCGCGCACACACACACACACACACACACACTTTACAATGAAGCTTGCCACTCCTTACTTTTTAATTCTTTTTTTTTTTTTACAAGTCAGGAGGGCAGGAACACCAAGAGAAAAATCAGTAACCACCTTAGGGCAACCCGCTGTCCTTAATATCTCATGGGTGAATAGAATGAAAATATCCCCCTGGGCTTACTTGCATATTCCTGGGGTGTCATGGGCTGCTCCATCACATGGCTGAAAACAGCTTTCCATTCCTCCTGATCTTTCTCAGTCTCACAGGTGAAGATGTACTTGCGGTCAGGAGTTACAATAATGACGCCATATTTCCAGGTAAACCTACCCTGCGTGCCACGTGGCAATCCTTTTATGACAGCATACCCTTGTTCCTCACTGCCCAGGAAAACCTCACCTTTAGCAAAAGCATCCTGCATGGGGTGAGAGAAAAACACATCTGCCTTAAAACCCTGTTGGGATTCTAGACTATAGTCATGACTGAGAACCTAGAAACAACAGAACCCTGTCAGGGTGATCAGGTAGTTTTCCTGGGACACCACTGAGAAGAGAGAAATGTGCCAATACCTTAACTACAAGATCCTAACATTTGGAAAAGGAGCAGCAGCTGGAAGAACTAAAATAACAGCAAAAGCATTTGTTCATTCATTCCCAATCGGGACAATAGCCAAAGTTCTCTCAGCAGAAACATTTAAGGCTGGGGTTATCAGCACAATGAGGAGGCGAAGACATTCTCTGCTGCATGCAAAGTTCTCATGTTCCCTGCTGTCCATCCTGTCTGGGCCCCAGTCCCTTTCTTTTCCTCTAGATATCTTCTTCCAAGCAGGCAATGCTTTCATCCAATATCTGCTCAGCTGATAACTGCAACAGGTAGTTGTCACCTTTAATGCTCTCTGATGCATTTCTGAGTGTAGTATATGTACCTCCCACCTCAACTATGGCAAACTTCAACTCATTGTGTATTTCTCACACAGGCTATAGTGTTTGGCCTCCGCTGTAATCACTTCAGACCAGATGCAAATCAAATGGACATAGTCCAACTTAACTTGGGTGATACAACAACCTGTTACTGCTTCTAAAAGGCATGGCTAGAACACATTGCTTTGCAAATGGACTTTTTCCCAGGTCTCTTTTATGAGGCTTATATAACTTGTAAAAAGCCAAAAGACTTTTGTTCTATATTCTTCATAGATCAGCTAAGGGAAGCATAGTGAAGGAGGCTGGATATCTGATTGATGAAGGAAGAACTCTAGCCTGTTGAACATTTCAGGTCAAGTCCTGCTATTAGGCTTAATGCAGGAGAAACTGATTTCACCAGTCAACCCCCTTCAAGATTCTCCTCCTTTTGTCACTGGGGAAGAATCTGCCAAGCACTGTTCAGAATCTTCAGTTAAAACTATGTTACACATGCAGCTTTTCAAGGAGTCAGCAAATGCCAGTCAAACAAAAGTTTTCAGATCTTCTCTACAAAAAGAACTAAACTTTTGTACCTGGGTTGTTTTCTCCCTGTTCTCCTCTGACATTTCTGACTGTTGATTACCAAACTGAAGTTACAAGGAACTGGCTGTATTTCTATGCAAACTTTGACCCTGAAGTTTAAAACTAACAAAAAAAGCCAGCTTCAACACTGTTCTTCTTTGTGTTGCTTTGAGAGAACGCCTGCACTTACAAACTCGTCCAGCCCCTCCTGAAAGAGAAAGTGGGAGTTGTTCCACACATATTTAAGCTGGTTTAAGACTTAGCAGACCATGTGAGCCATTGCCCAATTTCTGTTCTAAATGCAGATGCTAAAATTTTCTACAGCTGACTGAAGAGCTTAGTTTGTAACTTGCAAGAACTTTAGAATACTGTACAGAATTGGAATATCCTATTTTAAAACAAATAAATTGTCACTTTTAAAAAACATGAAATATGCTTCTTATGACCTTAACATGAAAGTAATTCATCAAGAGATTCTTATCTATATTTAATGGACCTCCCTATGAATGTTTAAGAAGGGCTGGGAATCAATCTTTTTTTAATTACAAAAATGTAATATGTCTAAGGAACACATATGGTTTAGCCTTTAGTTATTTACTTGTCACATTTGTAGGCCACCCTTTCAGAATGACTCTGGGTGGCACACAAATTAGAAAAAAAAAAAGAAAGAAATCAGAAAACAATCCAAACCATAAAAAAGAAAAGATGGCCAAACAGGAGTCAACAAATGCAATAAGAATAAAACCAACTCACAAT